AATAGCTATTAAATCATAATTAAATTATATCTACAGATTTATACACATGCATTTTCAGATGACACTATTATGTAAGAAAAGAAAGACCAAATGTTACACATAAAAATTCTTTCAATGTCTCTACCAAATTTGAGGTAAAACAAGAAACCTTAAGAACTGGAGCATTTTAAGAGTCCATTTTTGCTGAAGTCATTCAAAATTTCAGCATCTGAATATCCATTCTTTTTGAACTGGTGATAAATCTGACTTTTGAACATTAAAGCCAAAACTGAAGCAAACTAATAGAGATTATGTGAATAAAGCCTGACAGTTCCAATGACGATAAAAATAGATTTTTCTTTTTCTCTCCTCTGTTATCAGAACTGCATTAACGTGGAAGATCTTAAACAAGACCGGGCCCAGCACTGACCCCTGAAGAACTCCACTAGCTACAGGTCTCCAACCAGACTGCGCTGTTCATCACAACCCTCTGGAATTGCTGTGACCTTCAGCTGTACTGAACTGCATCTCAGAGTTTTGACACTGTACCACTAAAGAGAATAAGTTAGTGAAAAAAATAATCTAAGGAATTAAAAAACTTTGTATGAAGATTCTGAACAGCCATGTTATTCTTCATCCAAATAAGCATATGTGTGAATTGGAAAAAGTCTGTGAACTATGCTCCATCTATTTGCCAGTTATGACATATGGCAGTAAAACAAAACCACACATCTAGCAGCTTATTAAAACAGAGCTAGTAACTTCCAAATTCTGTACGAAAGAACACTTCTAAGAATACTCACCATGCTTCTTCTAATATAGTCTATAGCTTTTTTCATATCCATGCCTGACCAGTTATCAAGCATGTAGCAGATGCAGGAAGCACAGTACACAAACCTCATATCATTCTCACTTCCTTCCAGCACTGCACAGAAACTGTAAAGAAAGATTTTTCTTATTAGTGCTGTGTAGGTTTTTATATCAGAGATTACAGAAAGCATTTTGGAATTGAATAGTTTTTCCTTTCAAACATTATTACCTACACCTGCTTACAGCATCCAAACAACTATAATAAAAAAAATACACCTGATTTTCTTTCCAGAAGATGAATTTTTAGCTAAGCTGAACAAAAGGAAGAGAACATTTAGAACATTAACATTTAGAGGCTTGCACAACTCTACTTCTAGCAGTGACACTGCTCTTTATTTAATCAGAGACGTCAACACTTAACATTCTTCCACTTATTACACACATACTGATGCGTAAGTTTCTATCCTAACACTGTCCTTGGCAGAATTCTTTGCGTTCCTTGAAACCTTCATAGCCTTTCTGACCTTAATTTCAGGATCAGATATCCTTGCATGTGTAAATGTAACTCCATCACCATTTCTAGCAGAAGTACTTAGAGCTACACGCAATACCCCTTTCAATTTCTTGTGGCTACGTTCCATCTCTGAGAAAAATTTTGCTTCACGTAACACTGCACTGCGCAATTTACTGCATAATCTCTGCTTCCTGAGATTCTTATAAAGAAGACAGGTGCTGTGATTTGCTACCTGCCAAGACTCTGTTTTGCTCAAAGAACCAGATATTTTAACCAGTATTTCAGATATTTTAAAAGTTAAACTGCAGCAAGAAGCCAGCACAACAAATCTATATTTTAATAAGTCCACTGTCTGATCTATTAAAATAATAATAAAGGTTCTTCCGACTCTGGAGACAGTCTTTCAAGGACCACTAAGACACTCCTCCTTTGGCCCCAGGATTCAATTCTGTAGTCTATCATCCTGTTGCATACAGAAACTTCCAATATATTAGGATATACATTTTCCTCTACTAACCCCAGTGGTGCCAAGCCATCTCCTCTGCAGCTCAAATCGGGATGAATGCTGTTGCTTTTTGGATATGGCAAAGATTTGGGGAACTAGGACACTTCTGAAGATGTGCAAGTGTTGTGGCATAACTTCATCCTGTACTTTGGTAACAAAGGCACTGAAGGTTATCCAAATACTTCAAATCACTTTCAGCAAAGGCCCATTCTTTTCTTACTTATTCTTAAACTAAACCTGGCCCTAGAATACTTACAATGGACTAACGTCCAGAAAAATTTTTTCCTTCATTCAGCTTATTTGATATTTCTATCTGGGCAAGATAACCAGTGCCTTTGCACATCCTTTCTCTTTGGTACTTTAAAAGTGTTTTTCATAGATATCAAAGTGTGCACGACACTAGAAGTTGACGCCTACCCAACACTTCTATTCCAGAAATAGCAAAGAACTCTTGTTTCTTCTGGGGTCAAGTTGGCCTTCTTTAGCAAGGAGAATGAAAAATGGCATCAAATGTAAGAGTTATCAGTCTGCACATTAAAACTATATGTGTTACAAATACGTAGGAGTTAATTGCATGCAGCTTATTACTGTAGTCAGGCAAGATTACAAGCAATTGCTTCAGAACACTAGTGTGCTAGGAGCACCTCATCCATTACTCTGTCTTTTGGACATACTTCAACAGCAACAGTGATCCAATATCTGTAACAGGAATGTTCAGAGCAATGGAACAGACACCTCCAGGTGTTTGAAGAAACTGCTGGCCAAGACAGACCAAAATAAATGTGTATACATATAAAGCTATATAGCTATACCAGTAAATAAATGAGAGCTGCTCTGGAAGTAGTGGTTTCATTGTGAAGTAAAACAGTTCCATTGCAAACAACATTTCCACAATTCCGCACTTCTTAAATATTCTTTCAAAAATGATATTGAGTAAAATTTCTCAACAGGAACAGACGTCTCCAAGAAGTTTTCATCTACTTTAGTCTGCATTTACACCTGCTACTGTTTAAAATAAAAAAGGAACCAGATGTAGATTAAGCAGTATATCTGGTCTATTAAAAAATGCATGTAAAAAGGATGTATCTCAAATTAAAATTTAGTAATATTATACTCACATTTATAATTAAAGTTTAGGCTAATTCATCCTATATATTGTTATACTGAATCTCTCAAAACTGAATCAAGTTTACCGCTTCAGAAAGCAGAGCAAACATCATCTTAACACTGCTCCATGTTACTGCAAACAAAAAAAAAAAAACCCAACCAGAGAATATGAATACTGAAAACCTCACCTACATGAAAGATACAGCACAAAATACCCTATTCCTAAGATCAATTAACAATAATAAATATGCATGGTTGTAAGCAAGCCTCACAATGTTTAGAATGAAAAGCAAAGACACAAAATATTGTTTGGTCTTGTACCCTATAGGTGTTCTTACTGACCTCCACCAAAATGCCTACTAATGGAGAGAAAATACTGTAATTTTCCAAAAATCATGTTTTTCATGCCTCACTCTACACCAAGGTTTTATATTCACCTTACAAAGAATTATAAGATATGTCTTTTACCTTCCATCCTCTAGCTGGAGAGCTCTCAGTCCTGCCAGTAAGGCATCTTTATTTACTCGGCTTAAATCATCTCCAAGAATAAGCAGACACGACAGACCTGTGTAAGTCATTGCTATGTGCCCACTATCATAAGGATGAGATACATCTGAGCCCTAGAAGAAAAAAAAAAAAGCAAGAAATAAAAGACTGAAACATTGCCACATCTTTTGTCAGGCATCCAACTGGAAAAGGAAAAAAAAAAGAAAAAGAGGTAAACAGTTAATTTCTCTTCACTGATTAGGCTTAAACTGAAGACATTCCATTCAACTCTTCTGAGTTAAATCAAGTACTTCACAGTTCTGCCACCTTTATCAGTAGGTCAGTATGAAAGTTCAGAAAAGATCTTTTGTGAAGCCTGATATCTATGCAACAGTTAAGCATATAAACTAGATGAAAGTTTATCTTGGGACATCACTGGACATTAGCTTCCTTGCAGTAGGGTAAGCTGACTATTAAAGAGCATGGAGATCCTCCCCACAGGTTTTAGAATCTAATCTACAAGAAGAAAGCAGTGCAGGGCATTATTATCAGTCTCTGTCATCAGAAGCAATAAAAGATTACCATGTCACTTATTTTCATTTCTACTTTAAAACAATAATCAGAGCTTAAGCAAAGTATTTAAAGAGCAAATAAAATCAACTGAGAAGCTTAAATGAAAGTTAAACAATGACAGCATAAATCACAAAACGAGGGACAGAAGACAGTAACACACCTGGGTTTTTATTTTTGCCTGCGATGTAAGCAATCCAGGATTGCACCACTGGATGACAACACAAACCACAAATAACAAGCTGGTTTTGGGTACTTAGGCTTGTTCATTCTGCAATATTTGTTTTTAAACATGATAAAAGCTATTTCTATACTGAGCAGCCACAACAAGCAAATTTTCAAATTACAGTTTGTCTCAACAGAGCCCATTTCTGCCCCTGAGGTACCAGTGCTCCCATCACTCTCTAATGATGCTCACATCCACAGTCACAAAAACACAGCACGAGTGATGTTTGCAGGGACTTCAGTACGTATCTGATCCAAGCACTCTCAAGCAAGGACACCTAAAACAGGGTGTCCAGGAACATGTCTAGCTGGCTTTTGGAGATCTCCAAGGAAGAGGCTGCACAGCCTCTCTGAGCAAACAGTGCCAGGGCTCTGTCACTGCACAGCACTGAAGTGCTTCCTGCTGGTCAGAAAGAACCTCCTCTTTCAGTTTGTCACCACTGCCTCTTATTGTGGCACTGGACACCACTGAAAAGAATCTGGCTCTGCCCTCTTTTGTACCGAGGAGGAGCAAGTTGGCCAACCATACCAATACAGGCATTCTAACAGTACCCAAAATCTTCTTTTCAAAATATCTTCCCCATACGATGTGCATTGTTAGGGGCCCAATACTTGTGATGCATTAGCTTATTCCAACTACAATAAGTCCTGCTGCAAAAATCCAGATGTACAGGATAATACAAACTTGCTTTGACACAAAACAAGTTTTCAGTTTAAAGCAGCTGATAAATTTACTTCTAAGCAAAGGAGGTGTCTAATTGAAAAACCCAAACCTGGACCAGTTCTGAAACAGAAAGAATTCTCAATATTCCAGTTCTGTAATTAAAACTGCTCAAATTTTGACAAAAAAAATATGAGATACGCAGCAGCAGCAGAGAAATATTCTGAAAGGTTCTCTGCCATTAGGACTGACTGCAGGTCCAGTTAGTAACTACGAAGAAAACTAAGCTTTCAAATGTCCCTATAATTGAAGTCAAATTGTAATGAGAAGAACAATTAATTTTGCCTTACTCAGAATAACATGGAGTAGGGGATGTGCAGAAGATCCATCTGTTCATTTCACACAATGTAGGGTACAGAGCCTGCAAATCAATGTTAACTGTGCACCACTGCTCTGCTGACACGTTTGTAAAGCCGTTTGTAAAGCTAGTCCATCTCGACAGCAGTGCTGACATCAGGAGTAATTGAACAGATATTGTGAAACACTTCAACTTTACTTTAAAAAATATCATTTTCACAGGAAGACTGTATTTACTAAGCAAGTTAGCTTTACTCTGAAGATATTCTAACTTGAGTTTTTACAACACTTATGAAAATTCTACCAAAAACTTCTAATACAAATGTGCTGGGATATTTGGGAAATTTTTTAAGGCATCTGTAGTTTCCAATATTCTCCTAGTAGCAATTTTTCACATAACATCTACATAAAATAACTTAAAATTCTTTGTTCACCAAATTTTTTTTATTGTACATTTCTATATCCGCATCAGTTCCACAGAAGCTTTGGTGGCCTACAGACATTTAAATAATTGGGTCCTTTGTTTCACTCACTGCAGTAAAAATGGGCTGCTGAAAAAATGTTATAAGCATATATATAAGATATATGGTACGATCTTGAAACTGAACTGTACCATTCTCTCCTCCAAACTGGATCAATCACTTTGGCATCTGCACAAAGTTCAAATTCCACATCCACATACTTTTCCATACAAACATTTCAACACGTACCAGTAGCACAATGTTTTTCCAAGCAGAGTATTAGCAAAAATCTGCAAGTGAGGTAGTTTTAATAAGGAGCACAATACGTACTTGTGTGATGCATATAAAGCAAACAGTAGTATCTTTTGGCTATACTTCATGAAATTAATACCTAAATTAGTACTGCCACCTTTCTCTATCCTCAAGCATCCACATAAACACTCAGGTATGGGTAAGGCAGAACAGATTGTTGAAGTGCATAATTTCCAAGTGTCATAATATATGGAATCAGGGAGGTGCTCTCAAGAACAGATGCTTTTAGGTTACACAGCTACCTATACAACTCATAGTCCTCCTTCAGAACAGGATTATTTTCCGGCAAGTAATTCAATTCTTTACACAATAAATTGCAATACTGGTAGATATTTTGATACGTAATTAATAAACATCAATGGAAATGACAGAGTCTGAAAGAATACATTTGCCTTTCAGCCAAAAATCCCAATAATTGCATCTAATATTACAATAAATTTGAATTAAAAAACAGATGACTCAGAATCATGAACAGAATTACTAAAAGGCACACTGGCAAAAGCCAAGATAGAGTTTCATGTGTATAATTATGGTTGGATCTTAGGAGCTCTTGATAGTCTAACAGGTGATTGTTTTCAATATACAATTATTGTAAAATATACAACAAATATAGATATTCACCAGAAAATGAATGCAACCTGTTCCTTAATCACAATTACTCAATTTTTAAATGTATTGAAATTCACTTTATCTTCTGGAATCCATGTAATTATTTCAAGTTCACTGTGATACTACTCATCACATTTGGTTTTGTACCTATACATACCAATGCATGCTTTACAGACTAATGAGACAGACACAACTGAGTAAGAATAAAAGATGCCTTTGATAGGACATCAATCAGAAGAACTGGAAATTATAGGAGGAGAAAGAAGTAAAACTAACCAAACAAACAACTCCCTTCTTTCCGATAAAACTGTATTTTTTTTTTTCCAGTTAAAGAGGAAGTTGAGAATTCATAGGAGTTGAAGGAACCAGACCTGAGACAACTTGCTATCACAAAGAAGGACTGCAGTGGCTCCTCTAAAGCAAGGCTACAGCGTGTCTCAAAGGTTTTATGAGATGACTGCTAGTAATTTCCATGGATGGGAGGAAGTGCTACTCTACTGTCTTTGCTATGAAGAATAAAGTCAGCCAGACCTTTTGTAAAAGCCTGGCCTATGTTTAAGAAAGACGCTGTAGTCAAAGCAATTGATATTTAATGGGTTCCTTGAGATTTGATGAGAAGTTCTTCTTAAGATCTACAAATGAAACTAGAAATGGAACTATTTCGGCTTTGTAGACATTGTAAGTCAATGCAATAGGAGCAGCAGCAGCTAAGCAAGCTACCATTCTCAGCACAAAAGGAACACTGCTGTCACCACTGGAAACTGTGAGCTTCATAGGCCAAGGACAAAGACAAACAAAATGAAATTGTTTTAAGAATGATAACAGTTACTGCTCAAAAAACAGCACCAGCAAAAACACAAGTAGCCCACTAAGGCTATAACTACATTACAGAACAATGCAGATCAATACAGCCAATGTTGCTGTCCCAGTGCCCACATCACATGTGCTGCAGAATTGAGGCCAGCTGTAGTATGGCTCCTTGGAGTACAAAGTGCATTTGGGATGTGTTTGCAAGACAACTTTCATTCTAAGGAGCTCAGTTAGTGTGTATTACTCCTGTGGAGCAAGCACACTGAAGTGTAGTTATGAAGTTCTCTGCTGATCTGAATTAAAATGTCGTGTAGACACACTGTGAGAAGACAACCACAGGAATACAACCAAGTTATCTATGCAACTCAGGTTTTGTGATAACTGCAGTTTTCAGGTCACACTGGAAACATTAACTTGGTTCTTGTGCGGAGAAAAACAGTCCTACTCTATGTGATTTACCATCATGGTTTCCACAATATGAGGTCTCCCTTAAAATTAACACTTAAAGATGCAAAGTGATGCAAAGCTTTCAAAGATTCAGGTCTTGTTCACTGCCATGATAAAATTCCACAGCACATTAGCCAGAACAGCTATAAGCTTAACTCATGGTAACCAGGAGTTTTTAAGACTCACTCTCTGCTTTGAAAACACAGGCAAGATCTTTCTGAAAATCTAAGAAGTGCTACAAAACATTCCTACAGAGGCAGTCTGACTTTTCGAGATTTCTTCTCTCTTGGCATTGGTGTTACAAATATGGATCATTTTGGCCTAGGGAAAACGCAAGCCTGTGTCAAGAAGGCAAAACAGATCTTTTTTGTTTTTCTCCAAGTGAAAGCATATGCTATTTACCTCAATGTTTTAAATAGTTCCAGGTACTGGCTTTCAATCTAGCTCCTAAAACACATTTTAACAGTTCGAAAATATCTAGACCCATCTGAAACTGTAAGGAGATTGTTAGCCCCGATTTTCAAAAGTTTGTGTAATTTCAGTAACTTCAAAACTGAGAGAACACAGAACCCAGAGCCACCTCAGAAAAAAAAAAAAATCCAATTTAAATGGTTCATGTTTAAGAATGTCTTTCTTAAAAAGTGGCTTTCTGAATTAAGATTTTCAAGGATTTTTAAGACTGTGCTGTGACTTGGTCAAGTTTTTATTTTATTTTTTCTTACCAATGCAAAGAGTTGCAGAGAGACCACCATCAAACACTAAAAGAATAACAGCTGAAAACAGAAAGTAAAAAACAAACAAACAACAACAACCAAAAGAGCTATCCTGAAAACATCAAGCAAAGTTGAGAGAATCTAATGTATGTCTTGATTCTTCTGTATTATCTTGTAAGGTTCATAGTTTCAAGAGAGATTTGGCTACCTCCAGCATGGCAGCTTCCCAGAGCTCAAAAATGAAACCACTATAGGGGTATGCAATAAATAAACAATTGCCAATGCAAGTCCAAAATGCTTACCAGCATTTAAAATAATGAATAAAGAAAAATGACAAGGCCTTAAACAGTACTGAAAGTCACTCAACTTGTTTAATCTCTAAGTCATTTCAGAACATTTTCAGCCAATAGTACTGAAAATCCTTCAAACCTTTGTATGCCTACACGTCAACCAAATGTGCTTCCTTTAATGTAGAAGCAATAACAAGGTATTATGAATAGAAATCCCAATGCTTTAATAAAAAAGCACAATTATCTGGAAATGCTTTTCTGGAGATAATGAATGGACAAACTTGTAAATGATTTCCACAGGTTACATGATTCCATTCCTTTGTTCCTTCTGTGGACTGGTTGACACATTATGAGGTAAGGATGGCCTGCAATACATTTCCTGAAAGGACAATATTTAAGTCTGAGACATGCACGTTCTATCACGTTCTATTACTGAGCATTAAATTAAAATACTAAAAAAACACCAGCCATATAATGGGCTAATGATAATGTCATTTGCCATTTCTGTGTTTTTGTCTTAAGAAAGCTATACAAGATGTCAGAATTATATGCAGAACTCACCCATTCAGCTTTATTCAGCAAGCAATAGGGAGGACTTGAAAAAGGTTACAAAACACATGTTCAAGAACTATATTGCATGACGCTGACTCAAACCTTTGACAAAATGTGACTGAGCATTTTTATGACCTCGGTCTGGTCTGAATAAAGTTATGTCTTTATTCAGTTTGCTATGCCACTGTACCACAGTAAAAGCACAACAACATAAAACAGTATCATGATGGACAAAATGTCTATCATACAGGTAGACAAATTCATAAAGTGATAGGATTACAACTGTCTGGCAGATCAGGCACAGAGGAGCTATGGTGGGGGTAAATGTGCTATCAGACTGGCAGCTAGTCACCAGTGTAGTTCCACAGGGCTCCATTCTAGTGCCAATTCTTTTAAGTATTTTCACCAATGACTTGGGATACAGGACTTGAACATCTACTAAATCAGTTTGTGGATGACACTAAACTGGGAGGAGCTGTTGATTCTCTTTGAGGGCCTTGCAGAGGACTTGCAGAGATTTGCAAGAGAGATTTGCCTTGCAGACAAACTAGAGAGCTGGGCAATCACCAGCCATGCGCGGTTTAACAAGAGCTAGTGTGAACTCTGCACCTGGGACAGGACAACTTGGCTATATGTAGACTGGAAAGCAGCCTTGCAGAAAGAAATCTGGGTGTTCTGGTTGACAGCAAGCTGAGTCTGAGACAGAAGTGTGTCCTGGGAGCCAAAATATCCAACTACACCCTGGGGTGCATCAGGCCTTGCACTGCCAGTGGGCAAGAGAAAAGACTGCTCCATTCCGCTCTCTGCTGATGCAGTGGCCTCATGTTGAGCACTACATGCAGATTTGGGCACCACAGTATAAAAAGATAAAACTATTTATCTATTTAACTATATATAAGAGTGTTTGTAGAAGGCTATCAGGATGGAGAAGAGTCTAAAGGGGAAGATGTATGAGGAGGGGCTGAAGTTCTTTGATTTGTTCAGCCCAGAGCAGAGGAGCTGAGGGGAGGTTTCGTGGTGGCTGTGGCTTTCACAGGGAGTGAAGGGGCAGTGCTGAACTCTGCTCTCCAGAGGCAGCAACAAGGCCCAAGGAAATGGCATGGAGCTGCCTCAGGGGAGGTTCATGATGGGTGTGAGAAAAAGGTTCTTCACTGGAGATTGGTCTGGCACTGAAACAGCATTGCTAAGGTAATGGCCATGGCCCCAAGCTGATGGAGTTCAAGAAGCATCCAGACAATACTCTAAGATATAGGGTTTGAGCTGTGAAGGCAGCAGCAGCAGTAGTAGCAGCAGCAGTAGTAGCAGCAGTGATCCTTCTGAGGATCAATACCCTGACTTGGGATATTCTGTGACTGTGTGCATTTATTCAGGTGAATGATTAACTGGCTCTGTTCTGACTAAATCAGTCATTTTTAAATATACAAATATACTGACATGACTGTCCACTATTTTCTCTTTAAACTTCAATTATCAGTAGAAATCCTACAATATTTAGGCTGTAAGCAGTTTTGCTTTCTTCCCTTCAACTGATCGCTACTGAGATTAATTCCAATTAAAACAGAGGATTAATTCATTTTACTATAGAGCTCACTGCAGACACCATCTGTAGTGTAAAACCAAATAAATATCAAAGCAAATCAAGGGTCAGAAGACCTTGCCTATCGCATGCTGCTGTATTACCTGGTGTTGAGATGTAAAAACTCTCTTCATAATTTTTTTTCCTTGTTAGAAAGCATAACTTATAAAAATTGCTGCTATATGTATCTGATGGACTTACAATGCAAAATAAGAGTTATAAGCAACTAGTGGGCCAGAATAGATGAATGACTGATTTAGTCCTACAGGCTACTCAGAAACATAAAGTTATGCTGCTAACAGCGAGTAAAAATGAGGTCAGAACACACCTCACACTTAAGTCAATTCAAGCATTTTTACACAACAATAGTCATATGAATGCATCTGCCTTTGCTCTCAATTTCATGCTGCAGGATAAATTCAGTGGGATTTTAAATGTGGCTATCTTAAATAGCAGTACAACAAAATATTTATAATTTAGTGCTCTTTCAGGCTTTTCTTTAGAGAAGTTTGATTCTTCATCCTCAAGCACACTAAAAAAACAGCCCATTTCTTTCAAGCCTTTCCTGCACAATGGCACATACATCCTCTTCCAGCCAGATCAGATCTTTTGTATTACTGTTAGCAGCCTCTGCTTCCCTCTTTTCTTCCTCACAGCAAAGGCACTTTCGTTTCATATACAAATTTCAGTGCACTTCAAGCATTTAAGCACTTGAATTTCACTTCCATGGGCAGCAAAGGATCCTTCCCTTACAGTCACTGACAAGCTGTCATGAGCAGAGGCTTCCTTAAGTTTGAGTGGATCCCAGGGGCAATTAAATATCCATGCATAATGATAGGAAAAAAACTGAAGAACAGCACATCCCGCACCATTTAATGTTGACTTTGTCTGCCCTTCTCTTCCTGATAGCTAATATTTAGAGAAGTTTTCCTATGCATTACAGGTCAGAAAAGCAGAAAATGCAAAAAAGCATTCTCTGCTCTTCTGACCAAACCACAACTTCTACTTTAGTTTCTCCACTGCCTCTGAAATAAAAGCACCACCATTTCAGAAGTGCTGCATGATTCTTAAAAGCGTTACAAACGTTTCTATGTGTTAACAACAGTTAAACCCCTACTTTCAAGATATTGCACAATTCTTCAGATATTGTTATAAAAAAGACACCAGATAACTTACAGCCTAATTGATAAAGCACCTCTCCAAACACAAATAACTGACCTTGGAGGGATTGAACGGCATCCCTAAATATGAAGAGCCTCTGAATCCACAGCGATTCAAGTTTGATTCTGGAAAAGACAAAAAATAAAGATTCAACCAGTTTGCTTTGCTGAAACATTCACTGTTAACCATAATTCTCTATTCAAAATCAAGACCTGTTACTGCAACATCATTCACAGTACTATCAGAATTTGCACATGTGCTACGTATGTTCCCAACTTCAGTCTATTATCATTCTGATTAGTACAAACAATAACAAACACGAAACAACATACCAACCAAACATAAAAAAACCCAAAAGTTAAATCAATTCTTCTGGCATAACAAAACAACAGATTTTTCTTTTTCTTTCCCCACTTGGTGGAGACAGCTGTTCACATTAGCAGAGAAGTTTCCACCAGCCTCCCACAAGTCAAAGAAAAACAAAAAGATTACTTCCCTGTATGAGAGCCCCTAGTTAATAGAATATTTTCTTCTCTGATTTCCTGACTGTCAATACCCTCTGTTCCCACATAGAATTGTTTTATGATACTTAGCAACATGTACAAGAACAAATACACTATCTGCTGTTTCAAGCTAGCACTGACTTTACTGTTTGAGAGATAAAGTTAAATCAAGGTGAACAGCAATTTTTAAATTTGAGCCATTCCTCCCCCTCATTCAAAACACAGGTGAAGAATATTTTCACTACCAAACACCCCTACTAGTGATTCTGTTATGATGTTTTAAACATGTCAGAATACCTAGGCATGTATTACAGAAGTGCATTAGGCATGCAGAAGTGCATGAGAAGTACTTTTTAGAGCCGATCATTGTACAGCTTCTGCAGCAAATACTCTTATTTCTTTACTCCTCAGAATCTGAAAGTAAAGTCTAGCAACTACTATAGTTCCACAGTGCTCAGGTGTTCTTAAGTTATCTCTCCATGATTGCTTTTTTTTTCCTTCAGTCTTGGATCCAAAAACCTTCGTTGAGATTAGGGAAATTTACACTCTGCTACAATGGCTGCTCCAAAAGTAATACGTTCTATTTCTGTTGGCCCACAGCTTCAGAAGTGGATATTGGTGGTTGAACTTTCCCACCAATACTGTTACGGTCTGTTGCTGTGACAGGCAGCAGTGCAGGAATGGCGTTACCAAATGCCATCTGACATGGACGCACATATAAAGGTATCTAAACAAGCTCCTTCTTGGGAAAAAGCGTCATGCACTGACTCTCACAGGCACTTGCTGAATGTTTGTGGAGACCAAACAGCGTTTGTCAGATGGTAAAGTAGTGAGTGGTGCACTTCAGCAGCACGGATGGCAACAGTGGGTCAACTCTGCTGGCGCACATTTTTGTAAGTGTGGCATGCAGGCTCTTGCCCATCAATGGTGAAAACATAGCCAATGGTGGTAACTATGTTGAAAAGTAGTGTTTAGTAGTTGAGATTTTGCTCTATCACTCAGTGTTCTTTTCATCTGTTGTATTTTCCATGGAAATAAACAGGAAGCATTACTTTCAGAGTGACCTACATAACTGGACAACAACAGACATAATGTGGTCTACCAATTACGTGCAGTTTATCACACACAGAGGAACAATCAGTTCCCTCGTCCTCTGCCACCCCAATGTCAATGCAGCCCAAGATACTGTTGGCCTTCTGGGCTACAAGCACACAATGCTGGCTCACGCCCAGCTTTCTGCCCACCAGAAACCAAAGCCCTGCTCTGCAGGGCTGTTCTCAATGAGTTCTTTTCCCAGTCTGTACACAGATATGGAATTGACTCAACCCTAGTACAACAACTTGCACTTGGCCTTACTGAATTTCCTTAGGTTCCCATGGACTCACTTTTCAAGACTACCCAGCTCCTTCTGTATGCTCTTCCCTCCTTCTATTTTATCACGTTGGTGTCATAAGCAAACTTGCTGAGGGTGCGCTCAATCTGTTCCATGTTGCAAAAGATTCTGAAGCACACAATAAATAGTAATCTGAAGGAGTAATTTAAGGTCCCAAAGCCTGGTTCTCAAAAAGCATCGCAGTTTGGAAAATAATACAACATGAATAACTCTGGAAGGGGACAACTAGAATTCCTATTTCTTAACTAAGAGACTTCCTAGGCAAGAGTGGAAGAAATTGTTATTCAAATGTCCCTTTTCAGTAAAATATAACCCAGGTCAAATATGCTTAAGTAAACTATAAAATACACTCTCAATTAGCACAAATACAGAAAACCTTAATCCAGAAGGCAGTTTTTACCCTGCTGACATGTAACTAGTCTGGGCTGCTGCAAAGAAAGTCGTACTACAATTAGGACAGCACTGCAGTCAAATAGAACTCAGATTCTAGTTGCTAGGTGAAAGAACTCAGCCTGGAAAAGCTGATCCTTACCATGAATGATATTACATTATGAACATAGAATCGCAATATGAAATCCAGGCACAGTTGCTGTTGGTGAGTTACCTTGACTGGCTTTTTACATGACAGTCAGAGACAGTTACAAGGCATAATCAAAAATGAACTAGTTGAAGGAAATCAGAAGCCATTATTCCCTTTAGCTGTTCAGCTTCTCTGCAGTGTTTTAAAACTTATATTGCACCACCAAACTGCTAACAACTGGAAACCACTAGGGGTAATACTCAAATGCTGTCAGTGATCTAAAATTTTGTTTGAACAGTTGCTTTTGGTTTCCAATCCCAGGCTTTACACACTGGCTCCGAGAAACACAGTGGTTTGACTTTTCAGCACCCTCTCTACTATGTAATCTCAAAAGTGAAATTTTATCTCCTCTTCCAAAAAAAAATTAATAAAAAAAAAATAATTGTCATGAATGTGGGCACAACAGATTATTCTCAGAGCTTCAAGACTACAAATGAATGCTTAATTTACAGTTGCAATTCTTGAACTAAAAAAAATACAGTGCTGAGCTAATAAAAGGAACTGTTAAACAGAAAGTGAAAACAGATAATTTTTAACCAGATAACTGCCACACTGACCTCATGTGTCAAGCTTTTTAGCTTCCTGTTGCACACACAAGTTCTGAACCAAGTGGGAATCAAAGGAAAATTATGGAAAAAAACACTGTCTTTCAGTTTAAGCACAACATCTCACTTTCTGCAAAGCTGGTTTTACAACTTTAGTAAAAGCTATCTGCATTTCTGATCTTATGAAATAGATTGCAGTTCGACTAGCATTACTTTCTCGAGCTGCAAATAGCCAGTCAGTAACAGAATTATAAAAAAAAAAAAACAACATACTGTAATTAATAAAAATGAATCATAATTTATGTGCCTTGTAAAAAATTGCTGGATCCATCAGTTCAAGCCCCCAGCCATCAGGTGAAGTACTGAGTCTAACTTCTATTAAGAATTGGTACCACCTGATGTTCACTTTCAGAGTTAAGCATACTTCAATACTTCCTGAAATAGCCAAAGATAAACAGCTTAATAAACTTTACATCAGTCAATGCACATGTTACAAGCTAAGCAAAAAAAAAAAAAACAAAAAAAAAACACAGAAGAAGGCTTCATATGTGACAACACAAATAAATTTAATCATTTCTCAAACCAAAAGACTCCACATTTACATAAGGAGCTGAGATTTTACCTTGAGGAAAACCACATCATTTAAGTATTTCCAGGCCAGAAAGTCCTTATGACATCAGAACTCCAAGTGATAACCAGGGGTGACTTTCTAAGAGCTAGGAGCTTTCTTTTTACAGAAAGGACACTTTTGTTATTTATCTTCTATGATCAGCCTTAGATGGAAAGAATGGCACATTTTACTATTAGTTCTTCCCATTCACATTACCCATCTTAGAAACCTTTAAAATCTTAAAATGCAAACCAAGAAACTACAGCTTTAGATAGTCAAAGACAGTCAGCATACCCAGCTAAAGCAAGTTACAACTTCTCATGTTGAGAAGAAGTTCAAAATTTGAAATTCTGCTCAGATCCTGCTTTAGGAGAAAAAAAAAAAAAGCTCTGACAGAACAAAAATCTGATGAATCCTTTGGAAATTTCACTAGAACTTCCAAGAAGTATGTCTTAGTCCAAATACATAATTTCTGATAAGGCTTGTAAGAGACCTTTCCCCATCCACCTTGAAAAGGAAAACAAGAAAGAGAAAAAAGCATTTTCAAGATTTCAACTTCTCTCTAAAAGAAAACAGTGAAGTCTTAATGAGAATGCATTGAGCACACAAACGAAACAAATGCCATGGATTAGCCATGCACCTAAGCAGAACATTTGCTACATGTGCAGGAAAAGTAAAATCACCAGAATCTACAGAGACAACATCTCTACATATATTTTGATAGTTACAGAAGACAGCAATAAGTTCAAGCAATCATCTAGTAACAGTAGATTTCCGTGTGAGGATCAGTTATGATGTGTGACACACCACTATCTTCTCCTAACTGGTACTGGAACAGTTTCTAAAACACATGAGCTGAAATCAGTTACAGTACTTGAAGGGCATCGCTTGGATGCATCTCGTTTCACAAGAGCCCCAGGAACCGTTTCTCAAGTAAAGCCACGGAAGAACATAGCTTACCCAGACAGAACTTTAGCTTTGTGTAGTACATTTCAGTTAGGTTCACAAGGAATACATTTGCTTTCTTAGTCAGCAAGATCAAGATCTTACCATTTTGCATTAATGAGCTTTACTCTCATTTAAAGATTTTAAAAGCTAAGAACTGAAGCTTTCCTTAGCCATCAGGCAAATCACATACCAGTAAATAAAAACACACTAAAAAATATCACAGTACGTGGTGAGATTTTAACTAAGTCTTCTTATAAACCAAATTCTGAATTTTCTACCAAGTTCTGTAATATTCCTAAATATCCACTCAGCCACTCACTTACGTACTCATTTTGCACAAGAGGACAGGCAGACTGAGGCAGAGACAATTAATAAGGTGAAGAAAAAGCTGTGTGTATTAAGGAAAGCACAGAAGGAATTTATTCACTATTTCCCACTAGCAGGCAGATATTTTGTCAATAATCTTAAGATTACTGGAGTTTGTAACTCCATAAATGACATGATTAAACAATGTTATAATTAAAACGTTTAAAAATCAAACTTTCTCAGAAAAAGGGATATAACAGCATGCAAGTCAAAGAAACTGCAAGAGTACCTCTTTAAAAGCAGATTTTTTTTTTTTTTTTTTGGATACTTGGAAAGATTCTGATGCAGCAAGCTAGCTGCCATTAACTGGAGATGGACAAAAACTTAAAAGAAGCTCTGGTGCTGCAGCCTACTGAAGTTTAGCTTTTTTTTTT